ATTTGGTAGTTTAAATTTTATGGAAATATTTTAGAAATTATGTAGATTCTGTAGTTAAGGTGGTTCCAATATTAACTCGATAATATTGCTAGTTTAGGAGAGATTTAAGGGAATGTAGGAGGCATAAAAGGTGGATGGGTAAAATGGAGAAACGCTTCAAGGGCAATATGGGCATGAAATGTGTAGAAGGATAAATAAGGAATTATACACCTCTCCTAAAATGTAGGAAACTAACTTTGGCCATGTCATGCAATTTAGAAAAACTTTGGGCCATTTTGGTTAACGATAACCTGTGAATAGCTATTTCTAAGGATTTCCCAATTTTGAACTCCTCCAAGGCTATAAGTGGCTTTTTCTCTCGCATTTGAAATGTGGCCAAAAAGGTTTCCTAAAGGCTACAAATAGGACTTTGACATAAAAGCAAAAAATAATAATAATAATAATAATAATAATGGTTGGTCTCCATGTGGGGAAAAAATCTAGTACTCCCATATACCTTCTTCCCATTTTTTTAATATATTATTGTCCCCATTTATTTTTTTATATATTATTTCGACAATAATGTAAATGACATAGATGATAATTAACGGAAATAATGTAAACATTTTTTTTGGTTTAAGATTATTTCTTTTTGGTCTTCAAAGTTTTAAAATATTTATTTTAGGCATTGGACTTGACTTCGAAGGAATAATTATTTTGGTCCTCAAATATTAAAATAATCTTTAAAGTTTCGAAAAGTAATTATTTAATTATTGTTATTATCTTGTCACCTAATATTTGTCTACACTCGTATTTATGTTAGCATACATGGATACATATACTTGAAGTCATGTTATCTATTTGTATAAAATAAAATAATGGTAAGGGCCAAAAATAGTTAATTTATGAGGACCTGTTCAAAGATTAAAATAAACATTTTAAACCAAAATAGAATAATCTTAAAGGTCCAAACTTAAAATGGATTTAAACAAAAAAAAAATAAAAGTGGATTGAGACTAGGGTTCCTCGTAAGGCTGGCCATGGTCCATCTGTATTTGTAGTTATGAGCAAGCTTGCTATAATTGTTTTTTCCCAGTGGTGAATGAGATAATAGTCACAATTATATCAATTACAAAACTACAAGGATTTTGGTTGATGAAAATATGATTTTTGAGAACTTTATGAATTTGATATTGAATGAAGTGAGATTGGATTCATCAACATGTTTTGTTCAGTTTTCGATTTTATTAAATTTGAGTAGGAGTGGAGTTCAGACGGTTTTTGAAATTAATGAAGATAAAAGCTGATGAAATAATTTAGAGCATTACATGAGTCTGTATCAGAGTTATATCAATAGTACATCTGTATATCAGTAATATATCAGTGATATATGAAGTATACATCGTACATATATATCAGTAATACAATTAAGTTTGATTTAAAGTTTTAAGGATCAAAACAAAATCAGCAGCGCAATGTCATTCTTAAAAAGGTTTACACATCATTCTTGGATATCAACATCAATATGAAATCAGCAGCAAAGTCTTTCAACAAAAAACTTAAAGGTTTAAACATCAAAACAAACCAGTAACATAAACCAAAAGTAGACTAATAATGTCATTCTTAAAAATCTATAAAAGAAGAAGCATAAGTTCCAACAGTCTAGAAAAGCATAAGATTCATTCTTGTGTAATCTTTAGGTCAAAGCTTGGGACATCAATCTTCGTTGTTGGTGATTGTCATGTCTTCGAAGATGATATCTTTGAAGTTTTTCGTCTTTCCATAGACAACACTTTTTGTGTGGATTTATGTTGTCTTTTGGGACGAACGACATCAACATTTCCGATGATTTTTTTTTATTTCATTTTTCGTGTTTGTACCATTGCCTTTATCTGAATTTTTTTTAATTCATATATTAGTAGTATATCAAAAAACATATTAGATGCAATATGTTCGAAAAATTGATAGATATCATAGTTATATCAGAAGTAAATAAATTTCATATCATATGTATATCAAACATATATCACATATATATTATGAGTATATCTGTCGAAAAGTAAATCAATAGTATATCAGAAGTCAATCAGTTCTATATCATCTATAGTAATAGATATCCTAGTTATATCAGAAGTAAATAAATTTCGTATCATATGTATATTAAATATATATCACATATACATCAGGAGTATATCTGTCAATCATTATTATATCAGAAGTAAAAGTAATTTATTGTTGGTTTGGGCCTGCAAGGTGTACTTGTAATTTAGAACGTGTGCATCCGTTTTTTATTTAAATAAAATAAAAAAAAAGTTGTTACAAGGATTAAAATCCTAATAGATTTACCGATATGAACTTTGGTAAGTGGTAATTGACATGAATTGACCTAATAATTTAGGAATGAAAATATTTACCTTATCTACCTAATTATGATCGAATGAATAATTATTGAGTTGAATTTATTTATTTATTTTTTTTGAAGAAAATTATTGAGTTGAATTTTGATTTAAATATTTGATTTTTTAAAAATATTTTTGACAAGATATCTTCTTTGCATCTTTGTGGGAGAGGGAAAGAGGGAAGACGTTAAGATTTGGAGGAAGAGGGAGAGATTTAGTGGGAACGTGTGGGAGAGGGAGATGATAGAGGGAGATTTAATGAGAGAGAATAAAGGAGGAGAGAGAGATTCCTACGTGGAGTAGTGATTAGGAGAGATAATGAAAGAAAAACAAATGGAAGAGAGAGAGAGTTTTGGTTTTGGGAAGATATAATTTTTCAACTTCTAATTATCAATTATCAATTATCATTTGTTTTTATATTTTTATTTTTACTACTAAATAATAATAATCAAAGAAAAATGAGGCAGAAGAGAAAATTTAAGAAAAAAAGTCCAAACCAAACATGGTGCTTATATATAAATTAAATCTTTAAAAAATAGAAAAAAATCTAAATGTTATGTAATTAAGATTCAAATTAGTTGAATTTTGTATTTTGGAATCTCTCTCTCTCTTTTTTTTTGAGAATAGCAATTTATTAAGAAAATAACTTTAACTATGACTGGTTGGGTTTGAATAATTTAATAGAATACAAACCACAAGTTAATAAATACATCTAATTAAATTAATTCAAGTAAGTTTATTCCATAACGTATATGACCATTTAATCCTAATTTAAAAATAAAAGTTTAAAATATGATAAAGGTTAAATTAATAATTTTCAAATTTGATCATTTTAGTTTAAATTTTTAAAACTCAAAAACATGATTTGAAAATTACATTTGATTAAAATTTATTTTATTTTAAGAGATAAATAATAAATTAAGTTCCATTAAAATTGAAAATCACCAACAACCCATAATAAATAAGTCATTAACTCTTCATTTTGGTTGTACTAAAAAAAAACCCTTCATTTGGAATAAAAAAGTTCAGAAAATAGTTTTTAACAATGTAATTTGAAATTAAAGTTTTAAAATTCTTTATCTTATTTTAAATGGAAAATAAAATTAAACAAAAATTATTTGGAAATTCAATAAAAGAAAAAAAATATACTAATATAAATGTTTAATCTTAATCTATTAATAAAAAATTAAAATATAACAACGTTAACGTTAAGTAAAGACTTACCTTATGAATTCTCATCAAATCTATCTTAAAATTTTAAATTATTAAAATGATAACAAATCACGAAATTCATTCAAAATGAGATTTAACATCACTCAAAATCCGACGGAAAGAAACGGATACGAAAAAAGAGTTAATTAATTTATTGTATTTTATTTTATCTGCGTAGAAAAGTAATTTGACTTTTTGATGGAGATTTAATTAAAATTATGCTAAATCTCGGGAGTTAGACGGATTTAAAAAAGTTGAAATTCATTCTTCTTCCGTGATCACAGCACAGCGGTTACTTCGGGAGGAAGAAAAATAAAATAAAATAAAATAAATTAATGATAATAATTTCCTAATTTCTCTGAATCTCTTTTTACTTGTTATTTTCTATAAATATGGGGCGTAGTGGGCGTGAACTGTGAAGCAAAAATAGCGATTGCCATTTTCAGTATTCTCCTACTCCTCTCTCTTCTTCTTCCTCTGGACCTCTGCCATGGCGGGAGGCTTGTTCTAGGGTTTTCGCTCGGTTGGTTCGGTATTCTCTTTTACGTTAGACGCGACGTTGTTAAGAGCTTTCTTTTTACATTCTTGTTCTCTTTTATGGTCGTTCTTTCTTTTGCTTTTGCTTCTTCTGTGGTATGTCGGTTTGCACTCGTCATTGTTCTGCTTCCTTTGTTCTTCGTTTGGGTGGAGTGTGTGTTTGTTTGTGAGTATTTTTTTCGAAATGGAGAAGATCACTTCGCATATGAAACTTGCGGAGTCGAAACAGAGTAATCTCTGTAAAGCGCACGAGCAGTTGCATTCGGAGGCTTCGTCGTTTTTGTTGTTTAGTCTGCAATGGAAAGACTTGGAGAAGCATTTCGATTCGACTCGGGAGATGATTCAGACGCAGTACGAAGCGCTTGAAGGAAGAGAGAAGGAGATTGCCTTGAAGGAGAAGGAGTTGGTTGATGTGGGGAAATCTTTGGATGAATGCTCCGAAGCGCTTGAGTTGAAGAGGGATGAACTGAGTAAGTTGAATAGTTTGATTGAGGAGAGTTATGGTGATCTTAGATTGAAAGAGAAGGAATTGGATTTAGCCCAGGAGAGACTAGGAGTTTTATTGAAGGACGTCAAATTGAAAGAAGATGAGGCTAATATGGTACGAATGAGAATCTTGGACGTTGAGAAGGAATTTGAGCATAAGGAAAAGGCATTTGATATGGTTCGGAAAAAGATTGATGATTGTGAGCAGGTGATTGAATCAAAAGAACAAGAATTAAATGGTATAATGCAGTTAATCAAAGAGCGGTCAATGGAATATGAGTTGCAGAGGAAGAGTGTAGAATCAATAAGAACATTGCTACAAGAACATGAAGAAGAACTTGTTACCAAGGAGAAGCAATACGATGCAATTCAGATGGCAATTAAAGAGAGCAACGTAGAACTCAAACTGAAAGAAAAGGAACTCGAGTCAATTCAAAATATGGTTGCCACGAAGTGGAAAGAGAAGAGGTTAGACAAGATAGAAAAAAATATAAGATTACGAACTGAAGAGCTTGATCTTAAAGAAAAAGAGTTTGTTTTAATGCAGAACAAGTTGAAGGATCTTTCTGAGGATTTGTTATTGAAGGAGTCGGAATTAAATTCCATTAAAATGTGTATCAAGGAACATAGTAAAGAACTTGACATGCAAGAAAAGCAACTTGACAGCACTCAACAATCTATTCGAGACTGTCAGAATGAGGTTTTGTTGCTTACAAGATATGTTAGTTCATTAGAAAAGGCAATTATCGAATGCTCAAAGGAATGGGAATTGAAGGAGAATCACGTTGATGCATTGCAAGTGTCTGTAGATGACTACTCTAATGAGTTGCCATCAATGGAGGAACAGCAAAATTCCATTTCTTTGATAGTCGATAAATGCCTTGAGGGCCTAAGGGCTCAAAAAGAGCACTTCAATTTGTTGAGAAAATCTATAGAAGAGCGCTCAAAGAAACTCAAGAACGAAGAAAATGATTTTGAAAGACGAACTGAGGAGCTCAACAGGAAGGATGAGAAAGTGAGAATGTATCTGAAAGAGATTGAATTGGTAAAAGTAGATATGGATTCACAGATGAAGTTGCTTGAAAAAGGTCGTGAAGAACTAAGATTAAAAGAAATACAACATAAGGTGCAGGCTGAGAAACTTGAGTTGAAAGAAAAAGATATTAGTGTAGTCAGAGATTTTATGGAAAAATGTTCTGATAATGCAAAATTGACAGATAGTCCAAACACTCTTCATCCGAAAGTAAAAACCGAGGAAGACCGCAGACATGCCAACAGTTCTAACACACTGAATTTTCATGCTGGAGTGACCGTAGATGGAAAGCTTTTGTTAGTTCTTTTATGTGAGCATCTAAAACTGCATGATTTGGTCCGTGCGGAACTGGTTGTTACTCTTCAAACATCTTCAGATCCTGCTAAGTTGGTTCTTGATGCCATGAGATGGTTCTACCCTTCTCCACAGATGGTGTCTGAAGATGCAAAAATTGATTTGCATAATATTAAGAGGGGGTGCGTTTTGCTATGTGAAGTATTGTTGAAGTTCTCACCACAAATTACGCCTCCACTGAAAGAAGAAGCTCTAAAGCTGGCAGGCCAGTGGAAAGCTAGGATGGGAGCGGTAGTTGAGAATCATGTGGAAGTGGTGGCATTCTTGTTACTTGTAGCAAATTTTGGGTTGGCCTCAGATTTCAATGCAGATGAACTCCAAACTCTTCTGAATTCTGTTTCTCAATATAAACAAGCATTGGAGCTAGGCCGAGCACTTGGTATTGCTGATGAATCTTCTGGTAAGCAGTTCATGTTGACCTCTTCCCACTATCTTCATTCTCATTTATTGTAAATTGTTCAAATAATAGTTTCCAAGGGTGGAGCAGAGAAAGGAGGGGGAGCAATTGTCCCCTCTCAATTCTCTTATATTCAAATAATTTCATAGAAAAATTATGATTTCAAAGTTAGTTATACATATACATATATACATATATATATATATACATATACATATATATATATATGTGTGTGTGTGTGTGTGTAAATATATATATAATGTTAGAAAGTAAGATTTTGTCCCTTTAAATGAAAATTTTTGGCTACGCTCCTACATATAATTTTGACCATAGGAAGTTGTGTCATTTGATCCATTTGCCTTCACAATAATATATCAATTTGCAAAAGCCATCTAATTCTTGATATAGTTGTTAAATCAAATACCAATTAATGCTGGCTGGTTTTTACTGTCTAATCTCTTCTATTTGTTCTCATTTTATTTAGTGGGCAGGGCAACATGCTTGGTTAAACTGGAGCAACGTGAATCTTCACCAGCAAACAGCGCACCCGTATCTTCCTTAAAAAATGAGCAGCTCAGCATGGATCCAAATGAGAGGAGATTACATCTACTTCTAAATGAGCAGCTGACTGAACTTAAATTGATGCCAAGCGCAATCTTATCCATTCTTAAAGAGTCATCCGACCCACCAAAACTTGTCCTGGATGTGATTCAAGTGTCTTTTTATCAGCAGTTGAATAAGGGACAGATAGGTTTGGATGAAAATTTCTTGAGGTGGTGCATACTTCTTTTAAAACAATTAATGCAAATCTCACCAAAAGTTGATGCCAAGTTGAGAGAAGATGCAATGAAGCTTGCAGTTGTATGGAAATTGAACATTGGAAGTGATAAAAATAATTCTTTGGAGACTGTTTGCTTCTTGCAACTTTTAGTTTCATTTGGATTGACGACTTCATTCAGTGAAGACGAGATTTTGAAGCTTTTTGAGAGCATAGTGCTGCACGAACAGGCGTCGGATTTGTGTGCGAAGTTCGGCTTTACTCAAAAGATATATGGTTGGTTTTCTGAACATTTTCTCCATATATTTCTAATTTCTTCACTTAACTATGAACATACTCACTTCTACAAACATATATTGCAAGCGTTTTCCCTGGAACCTAAATAGTTTCTTTTTGTTTAAATAAATTACAGGATTATACTCATGATTCATGAATTAGTTTTCTTTGTTAGGAATTTGGAATAATTTGTGCAACTAATTTATCAACTTTAATTTGATAAGATTTATGATAAAAAGTAAAACAGTATTGTATACTTCCAGAGATAGTAACTTATTGGTATCCATCATGATCCTAAATTAACAAAAGTGTTAAAAGAAAATACTTGATAGAGTCAAATAGTTGTCTCGAGAGAATTAGTCAATAGTCCTTTAGGTGACACTCAAGGATATCAGTACTTGTGTAACTGAGTGTTATTTGTATCCTGTTCATGTGCCTTTTTTCCATCATAAATCTGTTTTCAATTTTTTAAAATGATATATTTTGTGTTTTGCAGACCTTGTACAAAATCTTATTGGAACGAAGCAATTTGTTAAGGCCGTCAGGTTTATATGTGGATATAAGTTGGAATGCTTCCGACCTGTACAGATCCTGAGCGAATATCTGCGAGATGCAAGGAATGCTACTCTAAAAGTCAGCAAGAAAAAGAATACAGGTCAAGAAGACATACGTGCGATGGTTAGTTGTCCATTCTAACCGAACCTCGATTGCTGAATTAAATATTCTTTTTTTCCTTTTTTGTTCTAAGAATATATATTGACTACTGCAGGATGAAGCCATAGACAAAGAGATTGATGCTGCGAAGTCAGTAATATCATGCGTTGCAGATTGCAACCTTTCTTCTGAAATCTCTTCTCAAGGGCTTGAAAAACTCATTGTGTCACTTGAGGAGATGAGAAGGTTGAAGTGCAACAGTCAAGTTCAACCGCCACGTCCGACCACAGTTGAAATGAAACAGCCACCTCCCATCAATGCTCAATCCCAATGGTCACATAAGGCCGATATCGAAGTGGAATTTCCACATCCCATCAATTTTCAATCCCAACAGCCACATAGGGCCGATTGGGAAGCGCAACGTCCCCATCCAACCAAGGGTGAAATGCAACAACCACATTTGACGAAGGCTGAAGCACAACAACAACCACCATATCCAACCCATCACGCCCGACAGCAACGTCCTACACGTCAACCCCAACAGCAATATCCACCCAGCATTACCGTACCGCAAGAGCTGCGAAAGACCAAACGTAAGGATTATCAGTTTCAAAACGGTTTAAACAAATACCGTCGAAAATCTCCACCTACTAGACCTGTGTTTTTAAGTTCAAGTCCTTCCGGACATGATGAAAAACCGAACTTTCAGCGGTACAACTCAAGATTTTCCGGAATGAATGGGCTATTTGGTCTCCATGAGGGTGGTCATGGATCTACTGAACATGGAAATCATTATACGCGTGCACCCTGGCCTAGACCACCATGACTTAAACCTAGGTATGCCTTTCAACTGATCTATAATTATTGACTTCGTTGTTTCTAGGTCTACTGTAAATGCTTTAGGAGTAGTTTGTAGATTTTGTGTCATAGGTGAACCTATAGTTGGCGTATAGGTATAGTTAATATACACCCTTTTCTCTAGAAGGGTACATTTTCTCTTTTGTCCTTAGAAGTGAACAACTTGCATTTACATGCATGACATGAAAGGGTTAATTTTGTAGATTTTTGTGCAGTTGATTTATTCCATGTTCTCAAGGTTCAAGATGCTTGCCAAGACAACAGGTCTCTTTATCTCTTCTTGAGGCGAGAGGTGACAAAAAGATGTTGTCTTCAGCAAAGCAATAAGTAAAATAAAAAAAAAACAAAGAAACCAAAATTATATATAGAAATAATATGAAAAAGAAAACACAATCATATAGTCTAGACATGAAATATGAATGTCTTGTTAAGACTTCTATATCTTCTTTTAAAAATTGAGGGTCCAAATTACCACCGTAGTTTCTCAACTAAGGGAGGAAGAGAAGACCCTTAACCATTATTGTCGTTGTCGTCATTGTCTTTCTTTCTCTTAGTTTGTCTTCTAGCACAAGAATTTGATAAAGTTATAGGTCACTCTTTGTAGATCTCTTGTGCTTGCTAGCTTTCTCTAGCACCACTAGCACCTGTATGTTGTATAAAATGTTGGTCAACCCATCAACATTTCGCTTGATAAGTCTCAAGTGTTGAAGGGTTCGACGTTACAGTCAAAGAAAAAATCTATTTTTTCAAATCGTCGAAAACTTTCTAAAATGTTGATGATTTTCTAAAATGTCACATTCTCTCATAGATTCATTCCTCATTAAGTCATTAAGTCATCCCCAGTAATATCAAAAAATTTCAACCAACACATGTTCAAGGACTACCAGTGATTATGGGAAATTTGGCATTTTTGACCTCCAAAGTTCTTGGGATTGGATTTTTTTTACCCCTTCTAAATTTCAAGTTTTTCGGACATTTTTCAACTTTTGGTGAAGGCGTGATTATAATTTATAACTACTTCTAGGGTCAAGATGGAATGTAAGTAAAATAGCTCAACTAGATATATAAAATGTCGGATCCCCACCCACACTCCCATCTATTTGAAAGGTAAAAAGAAAATAGAAGCCATAGTTTTTGTTTTGTGTCGTTGATGTCTGAGCTGCTAGAAGAAGCAAGAAAGCAAAATTAGTTCGTTAAAATGACCTCCATCTGACTCTGCCTCACCATGCTCTGGTTGTAAGTATCTATTTGCTCTAGTTCGTCTTCGACGATTTTGCAATTTCTGGCGGCCGACACTCGTCAATCTTTGACTGATCAACAGTTGTTGGTGCAAAGTTTGCAGCAATTGATGGGCTTGGGCATTGTACCAAGATTCATGCGATCTGATCAACTATGTATATCATTTTTTTAATTTCAAACTATAAAATCCCAAACGATTTTTATAAATCTTGAACTTGGGGTTTTCCATCGAGATTCATGCAATTTCAATAGAGATGGCATGAATTTCGTGCTGTGATTATGCAATTTTAATCTAGATTGGATAAATCATGGGTTGAAATTATGTTGAGATCATGCAATTTCAACCAAGATTGTGATTATGCAATTTCAACCAAGATTCCATATTCCCAAGCATAATCATAATCCTAGCTCAGGATTCATGCAATCTCGATTAATGTAATTTCAATCGAGATTTTAGGGATACGATCCTAAATTTCATTTCATTCCATTTTTAACTTAATAAAAAATATTGAATATAACTATAGGTTCAGATTTTGTACACCACATTAAAAAATGCATCTGTCATTCTTTTTATTTTTATTTTTTAAATATTTTTTTAAAATCAAATTCAGAGTTTTAGAATTTGTGTTTTTATTTATTTTTTATACATTTTTTTATTTTCAAAAAATTATCTAAATAATTTATTATATCATAATTTTACGATTTAATTTATTTTAGATTGTGTAACGATTTAGTTCTGTATCAATTTAGTCTTTCTACTTTCATATTGAATTTTAATATGTAACAACTTAGTCCCTTATGGTTTAAAATTTGACAATTTAGTCTCATCAAAATTAAGTGTTAATTTGTATCGTATAATGATTTAATTTTTGTAATTTATAAATAAATTTGATGCTTTATCGGTTTATCGATCTATATATATATAAGAAATTTAACAAAAAAAAAATTCACAATGGGGACTAAACCGTTACATACTTTAAACTTCAATGACTAAGTTGTTAAATTCTAAATTTTAGGGACTAAATTGTTATTAGTTTGAAAGTATAGGGACTAAATCGTTATTTTTGGAAGTTAAAGGACTAAACCATTATTCCAACTAAAGTGTAGGACCAAAATTGTTATTTAATCTTTATTTTATTTATAAAAAATAAATTGTATTACTAAGTTAATATTAAAAATGTTGTTAAAAGGAAAATGACAACAAAAAAAATAGCCATTAATAGTAATTAATTATATATTTAAAAACGTTGAGCTTGAATTGAGCTTGGACTAGTTTTTGGGTTTCAGATAACTAAGTTGATGGGCTTTGCATGCTATTGAAGTTTCATTCTCTCCCTTCTTCTTCATTGGACGGTTTGGTCGTTATTTTCCAACTCAAATTAAAGAGACTTTCACACCATCACAATAAGATTAATGTTTTTTTTAACCGGAAAACAAAGATAACAAAATCAAATTAAATGAACTCCCACATGAGAAACAATTAATGTTTGACCGTTAATTGATGTTTAAATGACACGTTTAGATATTGGTGATTTGATAAAATATATTAATTTAATATTTTCTTTTTTACGACAGCAGGTAGATGATTTGGCAAATATATTAGTTTAATATTCTCTTTAAAAAAAATTATAATAAATTTACTTGTACACGGTCAACTCACATCTAATGATTAAATTCATTGATGTAATGTTATTATCTACACTGCGCAATCATAACCCTAAAATATTCACAAAATCTCAGACTGATGTAATTAATAAATTTTAAATCATTAGAGCTCACAATTTGTAAGTAAAATACCTTGCTCTCATATAGAGTAATTATGCATGTATTTTAATCATAAACATTGTAAATTAAGTGCTTTAACAAATACAAATACAAATCATACAAGCTTTCAAACTTGAAATATCATATAAAAAATTCAAGTAATACATAAATTTTGCCTCACTAAAAATCAATGAAATCCCTAATCATGAAATAGAATGCAATGACAAGAGAAGATAATAAACACAGACGCCCAATTGCTTGCCACATAAACGGGCAGGCATTATGATAATATGCAACTTCTATACGACATACATGACATGTTAAAGGTCTAATCGTCACATCCTGAACATATCGTACCATATGCAGGGTGGTACGAAGAGATTTACATGTAACAACCCTAATTGAAAATTGTAGTGAGGAATCTATGTTTGGGAAGGAAAGAAAAAACAACCAAGAAMAAAAAAAAAAAAATCCCCCCAAAAGAAACGAGTTCAGAGGAAACATTTATATATACATCCTATTAATTTTCTTTTTTTCTTTTTCCAAAAAAGAAATAGAAGATCAGAGTTACAAATATAAATTAAATCACCAACTAGAATAGAATATTTTACAGAATCTAATCCAATCTGAAGTAATTTTTTTTCCTTTTCCAATGTTTCACTCTGCCTTCCAACTTTTGGGGAACGTACAGTGCAAAAAATCAAGCAACTGAACACCTTCTTCACATGCATTATTTGATACATCAGATGTACATACATCTTTCTCAAAGACCTCAGATGGCATTTAAGATTGTAATAAAAGAATTACCCTCTTCCTGAATTACCATGTCTCTGGCTTCTGAAATGGCTAAGAAGTGCTTGGGCCTGAGATTAGCCAAATAGTTAGCAGAGAAAAATATGGTTAAATTATAAATTTAGTTCCAACGTTAAGGTTGTGCTTATTTTCCTGAACTGACCCGAAAACTGTCTGCTGTGTAATTTTTAAATGACTAAACTAATAGAATTAATGGCAACCAGTAAGGACCTTTGAACACAAAATTGAAGTTAAAAAACCTATTAGAAACTTTTAAGAGAGCAGACCAGATAGACACGACTTTACAAGTTTAGGATCCATTGGAAACTTTTTAGGATATAGAATTTAAATAGGCACAACCTTAAAAATTCTGGACCAAACTTATAATTTAACCATAAAATATGAAATATAAGATTAAGCAACCATGGCAGACTCTGATGTACCTTTTCTTTGGCTCTAGCAGTGCCAGATTGTGACAACGCCACTAGCGGTGGCACGGCTCCTTCTTGGAGCACCATACTGCAATGCCTATTGCTTGTTGTGCAAAGCTGCAACAATGCTGCTGCCGCATTTTCCTTTCCTCTTGCAGAACCCAACTCGACGACCTCGACCAGAACAGGAATTCCACCTTCCTGACCAATCGCAGACCTACCCTCAGGAATCGTGGCAAGATTTGCCAACACAGCAACAGCCTTGTCAACCATTCCTGCTGCTGGGTCCATCAACTCCACAAGATGCCTCACAGCTCCAGCTTGTACAATTCTAGCCTTGTTCTCATGGAATATTGACAAATTAAACAAAGCTGTAGCTGCATCCTTCTTTCCCCTTGGAGTTCCATTACCCAACAATTCAACCAACGGTCCTATTGCTCCAGACCTTCCAATTTTGACCTTGTTCTCTTCAATCACTGAGAGGCTAAAAAGTGTGGCCGCCGAGTTCTCCTTCGCCTCCGGGCTCCCAGTTTTAAGAACATGAATCAGAGGCTCGATTGCATTGGCCTGAGCAATGGCACTTTTATTATTATCATTGATGGATAAGTTTAGAAGTGCTGTAACAGCATTCTCCTGGATCTTCGAGTCTGCAGAGAGGAGCAAATCAACCAAATATACAATGGCCCCACATTGAGCAATCACTATCCGGTTATCCATATTATGTTTGGCCAATAGCCGCAATTCAGCTGTAGCACCTCTTAAAGTTTCGAGTGAACTGCTCTTCAATTCCTCAACCACCTTCTGAACTTGTGCTTCAATAGCAGAAAGATCTGGCCTCGTCTCAGTGGTAGATGATGCAGTTATTCTAGTGGCAAACCTCTCTGATGGCCGGAGCCAAATTGTATTACCCCGAGATCTTGAGTCAGCTAGTCTAGCTGGAATCTCTGGTTCTCTGCGGCTGGTAGTTGAGGTAGTGGCAGCCGAGGGCTCTGATTTACTCTCCCCAGCAGCATCACTGCCATAACCTGTCAGATTGGTTGACAACTGTGAAGCTTCATTGGCTTCCCCTGAAGTTTCTCGAGAGAGATTAGCATTTGAGATTGCACTAGAGGTGGATGCGCTCCTATTATGACTATGTGAATGTTCATCCTCACTGGTATTTGGAACATTGGTTCTAGATGGTGACATGGATGGTTTAGCAACCAAATCACAACCATTCTCTTCCAATTTGCCTGGTCGATCTTCTGAACTTGTAAGCCTTAGTCTACTAAAATCAATCCCTCTTTCATCTCCAGCATCATTTGACAAGGAATCCTCAGAGAAAGAATGGGAGAGCAAAGAAGAATTTCCATCTCTATGAGTTCCACCAAGTGAGTTCAAGTTCTTTCCTGAACCTGCAGACCTGGTTGATTGAGGAGACATCAGTTGGTAGCCAGGGGAACGAGGAAAAATGGGTTCTCGATGTGCATCAGAATCAAAGTTCCCAACGAGTAGGGGTGAGAGCTGGTTCAAGTTCACTGACCTTGCGGGGTCAGACAATTTCACATTGTTCGTCTCACACCAGTTTTCAATTAGAGCCTTAACAGTGAAATTAGGTATAAGATTGGTGTGAGCCAATGTCTGTCTAGTCTTTGGACAAACATTGAGCCCCAGATCAATCCAGTTTTTTATAAAAACCCGCTCATAGGTCTGCCCTGATGCGACGATAACTGGATCTGTCATTAGTTCGAGAGAAAGAGGACAGCAGAAATCAGCAGGTATTGATACAGGACTAGAACTTTGGGACTGCTTTATTGTTATAAGTCGTTCATGCATGCGGGTTACAAGAGCAACCATTTGATCAATGTCCTCAGCTTCTCCAGTATTTTCAGCTTGTTCTGCATTCTCTTTCAACTTTTCAAGGGCCACGGCCTCGATTAAAATCTCCTGGTTTGATCTCAAGCTCAGGGAATCCGCAAGTTTCACCAAGACATCTGAGCTGGGTCCGATACCCTCTATTTGATTCCTTATGGTATCTTTGATAATGGAAGATATTTGTTCCTTTCCAATATGATTAACTTTTTGGACGCAGTGCTGCAATAATTCATCATGCAACTTATTTATCAAGAATGCTCAGCATTCTCCCTAAACATTCATCCAACAGAAAGACAAAAAACAGATGCTGTCCATATATTGGTTTTCACCTTCACAACATTTATAGTCCATGGTAATAAGCGAGGAAAAAAAAGGTGACGGATAAGCTCTAACAATATCATGGAGAAAAGTTGAAACCATAAATCTTACATCAGTAATTACCTCAAGAGATGTTGAACTCAATTCCTCCGGGAGATTTTCATTTGAAGACTGAAGAAGCTGGAATATATCGAGGCTAGATTTTCCAATTTTTGATATTAGTGCTTCACTTTGCAGTACCTTGGATCATACACAGAAAAGGAAAGTAGGGAGGAAAACAGAGAGACAGGTTAGTAAAGAGATGCTCCTAAAATTTCAAGAAAATATTTCCTGCCTCTCAAACAAGTCATCTCTGCAAAAGTCTCCAATGAGCACAACCTCCTAAATAGAAAAGCATAGGAAACTAAAAGCAAAGGGTGCAAGAGTAAGAATATCTAGTGACAAATTTGTTACACATGGGGACGGGACGATGAAGCAAATAGACTTTTCAAGTTCATAATAAGTTTTTTTATTTTTTTTGATAACTAGGAATCGGAGCTTTGCTCCCCTATACCTAGGGGCTCCCACGCCCCATTCGTAATAAGTTATTCAAATGACTAAATGGAGTTTGAAACCCATGTTCCTATTTGTGAGCATGACGGTCATTGGTCAGCATCAAACCAAATATAGTCCAAGAAGGTACAAAATTGACAAAGTCAAGGTTATGCTTCAAAATGTATTTTCAAGAATAAAGATACTCCTGATTAATGAATAAAGACTAAATTCCATTTGATAATGATCTTGTCCTTAATTTCTTATGTTTAAAAACGAGGTGATTTATTATTAACATCTCTGGTTTGTTTTTTAGTTTTATAAATTACTTGTGAAATACTGGCCAAATTTCAAAAAACAAAACACATTCTCACCCATTTGCTCTCAACATGTTCAAGCCAAGCACGCTAAAACAAACAAACATGCAACACACCTTACTCTTATAATTTTGCCTACAAGAGTCTGACAGCACCATATCTACTCAGTCAAACATATTATTCAATCAATAAACTACAAGCAATGGTTTCCCACAAGTCCCAGCCCATTTCAAAATCCTCTTCAAAATTTCAGTCCTAGTAACAAATAATACTATTTTCTCTCTCCTTTACCATTATCTTCTGGCTTAGATAGTTAAAGTCGCTTTGAAAAACATCAAACTGCTACTGTTAGACACTCTAGAAGCTTCTTGCTATTTTTCAGGCTGCTGGATCCCAACAGTATTTAGCATCAATTCGAACTAATTTGTTAATTTCACTATAATTTTAAGAAATTAAAAAGTTGATTATAGGACAAAAAAGTTGTTAGCAAACAAAATATTTAAAAAAAAAAAAATAGAGTACCAACAGCAGAATCATTAGGCCCTAAAACTTCCACATGAGAATCTTTACTTTCAAATTGCTCCCAGTCAGTAGAGTACCATCAGTTGATGAGAGAGATAAACTTGCAATTAAAAGAAAAAATAATAATAAGGATACTGTAGAACTTACAAAATATACTTTACTCGACAATAGTTGCCAATTTTCAAAGAGCATCCTTAGTTCATCCACTGAATGATCAAGTTGTTCAAATGCCTTAGTAAGCTCTTCATCGGAAGCAATATCTGAATCAACAACTGCATCCAGTATTGGCCTCAGTAGCTTCAAGACCCCTTCTATTATATGGTAGTACTTCAGAGTTGGTTGTAAATTTACATAGTCAGAAGATGAAAGTTGAAGAAATGATGAAATACGTCTAAGAAGCACTTTAATTAATGATACCCCCATTTTGCACCTGCGTAACTATCAGAAGTCAATCAATGTGAAAGAGAGGGAATATACTTATAATGGGAGGGTGGATGGGACGGAGAAGAATAGCCAAATCAAAAAAATAAAAAACAGAATAGAAGCAGTATATTAAAAAACTACATAATAAAAAAAATGGTAAAGATAAGTAAATTGGCAGATGATTGAAAATCATCCCTAGAACTTCCCGAGAGTTGGGATCCCTTTTAGAGGGAGCAATAGCAAATTGAATCAAAGAACTCAAGCCTATGTATAGATGACTTCTTTAGTAAACGAATATAGAAGCTGTTAAACTTCTATTTTTCTAAAAGCATTCATTGGGGTTTCCATGGTAAAACAGTCTTTTATAGCCAACTGCATTAGCAGGAAGCAACACATGACAAGAGAGTTTGTAAGTACTAAGTATTACTCTCTCCTTATTTACAGGGTTAGGATATACAAAGGTATGGACTCCCAAGTTAAGTAGGACTGAAGGAGCATTATTCCAAGGATTGCATATAGCATTCTCTTCTTCTTCATGGTGATTGAAACGCCCAAATGGCAGGCGCCTTATTTGAAGCCACTCAGTTGATGGGCCATGCACCTTGCATCACCCCTTGCCACAGGTGATCTCCTAAGTGTGTCTTGAGAACACTGCCAGCAGCTTAAGGCCTGCTTGGGACGTGATTTGAACCTTATTTTATGTTTTCAGATTTGTCAAGCAAAATCAATTTTTAGAATATACGTTTGGTGGGCAAATTTGTCAAAAACAAAATCTAGATTAGATGACTTGAAAGCCCCATATTTTGAAAACATAGTTTAGACGTTTTCATCGTTTTTAGATTTCAAATTTGAAAATATTGAAAACACGGGATCCACTTAATGTCTTATGGGAAAGTGAATCAGTAGGTATATGTCTATGATTTCCATCCTGCAAGAGAATGTAATTTGCTTTTCTTTCTTTTTTCTTTTGTTTTGGGTGCTTCTTGGCTCTTTTTAGCTTAGGCTTTCCTTTTTTGTATTGCCCTCTTGTTTTCTTTCATTTATTCTCAATTGAAGTTGTCTTTTTCATAAAAAGAAAAAAGAAAAAAGAAAAACGAAAAAAGAATTTCTACTAATAATGAGATCGTATAAGAGTAGATCACAATATGTTTGTTCTTCCCTAAATAAAAGCAACCACATATCATAGGATGATTTGACTCCACCTTAATTGTAAGTAAGCTATGAAGAAGAAAGGATGCTAGAAGAAGAAAAGGACTAGAAGAATAATAGTCTTCACTTCATGTTCCAAATAAGTGTTTGCTCTCGATGAAATGATCCACATTTCCTATCCAAAAAGAAGAAGTGTCTACTCACATGTTAACTAAATGAAAATCTCTCCGAGGGTTGTATTGTATGGAGTTCACATGTTAAGAGGCTTTTCAAATATCAACTAAATGTTATTTGATCGAAAAACTAAATCTTTTTGGACCAATATCAATTTGTTTGTATGCTTCTACGCTTCTACTGTGGGGCAAAAGTCCATCCCAATAAGATCTATGAAGCACCACCACTCCATGTTGAGCAATGTGTTAATTTAACACCCAACTTTAAAGATGTGATCTAGAATACTCAATTTCGTTTCAAATTTAAACTTCTTGGGATATGTTATGGATAAGTTAAGAACAGGTCGAGATACATTATGTGGAGATGGTAGTAGAAAAGACTTCAATTACTTAAAGATATGTTATCAAAGTAATAACTACACCAACATGCAACATAGTAAAACTATAAAAGCATAGAAAGAATAACTAATAAAAAAATAAATAAAGGTACCTAAATATATGGAAATTTAAAAGAAAAATTATTAAAAAAAAATTTAGATAAAGAACAATTTCATTGATAAGTGAAATTACAAAAGAGGAAAGAAAATCTCACCAAAAGACCAATGGAATTACAGAAAACTTCTCCAATTGGTTAAAAGAGAGATCATGCTATATGAGTAGAGTGATAATAAGGGGATGATTTACACCAAGACATAGCAGTAAATAGAATGTTATAAAAAATTATTTAAAAAATAAAAAATAAAGAGTAAAATTTCGCGACTAAGAAGCACATGTGTCTATCTCTGACATATGTCGAATACTCCTAACATTTGCTAGCACAATAAATGTATACTAGACATTAGATGTAATGTAATATGAGTCCAAGACCGGCACCTATGAAACATGTAATCATTTATTTTTTTTAGAACAAGAAACAAACTTTTCATTGAAATAATAAAAAGAAAATACAATCTTCCAAAATATAAACTCCCGACGGGAGTGAAAACATTTAATTATTTATTAAGCATATAATAAATAGACAAGATAGTAATATAAGACAAAAGTAATAAATTTTGTGAGCAAGATACATCAAACTCATTATTTTAAGCATATAAATGTATAAGCTTATTGACTTAATTTTTTTCTTAATATACATTTCACATCATAAATGTGTCCGTTTTCTAGAAACTAATGTGTCACCATATTTGTGTCGTGTTATGTAATGTCCATGTCTCATATCCGTATCCATGCTTCTTAGGTTCCTGGTAACTAACTTAGTCACGAAGTAGGAAACTAGCATCACCACTTTCCTTCTATTTTCTGGGATGTTTGAACTTTCTGATTGTAAATTTTACCAAATAATCATTCTTACTGACATATAATTTATTTTCTATATTAAAAATTAGAATGGATCATGTAATTTACCATGTATAAAATTTCCTAAAAGCATCAAACCATGCAAATGCATTTCTCAAAAGATATATTCGAAAAAGTGTCTCATGTCTTAATTATTGTCTATATCCACATCCATGTCCAATATCCATATTGATGTTTCTTATTTAAGATACATGAGGGAGAGACCATAAATCAGAAACTAACGAACACATCACACAAGATCTAACAACAATTATCTAACACTTCTTACCCCCTTGAATATCTAAACAACCACAATCATACCTAGTAAATAGTAACACATTCATTATAATTATATTAAAAAAAAAGTTATTTCTATTAAATAAAATCTAAGAATTGCTTTACAAAAAGTTAAAATTAGAGGGCATGGGGACATGTCAAGGAGTGCCAACCAACATCATCTCAAAAAATTTAAAATAATAATAATCAAAGTATCAAACCTAGGACATTTCAATTCCATGCATCCAAGTTGTGTCTCAATTATAATTGGGCATGTGTACACTCTTGGAGTATAAGGATGTATTAGACTCATCTAGGACATCAAGACTTCGACTTTCAAGTACCTCTGCCTCAACGAAGAGAATTCATATAGAACTCTACCAAGTCAATAGAAATTAGAATTAAGGGATTAACCATCCTGGTTCATTGTATTTATTATTTGGCAGCTGGTCTTGATCTATAAGATCAGAAAAGACCTTCAATTTACAAACAAAGGCTAAGATAAGATGAGATAAGAAATTAACCAAATGATGCCAGGATGAAACCGCACAAGATATTGACACACTATCATGATAATATATTCACAGTATAGAAGAGAATTGATTTCACATCGTGCAGGTATTTTGATCAAAGCAATTACTATGGTTCACAAAGTTGAGAGACAACTAGGCAAGACTGTGGATGGATGATAAGTTTGCAAGTATAAGAAAGAGGATCCAATGATTCTATGTAGCACAAGATCAGAGGTGAGTCGTCTTTGAGTAAATAATATCCAAGAGAAGATTAAGGTTGATGAAGTATCTAAATCAGCTTGTCTAGTGACCCACTATCAGCAAAAAAAATTAGTAAATCCTATTCAAGGCCAAAAATACTGAGAAAAGCTTGCATTATGGACAGCAAGACCATCTTCCAAATGCCTGTTGGCTGTTATAACTCTGTCTAGTAGGTCCCTTCTTGAGGAGAAAGGCATTTGTTGAGGTAATGAGGATGCAGAAGCAGAAGAGATTCCTTACGTAAAACCAGATGCCGGAATATACTACCTCAATTATGTAGTTCAAAGGCTACCCTTTAACCTCAAAGACAAATTCTTCCCCAGTGTGTGCCGTACTTCACAACCATTGCACGATCAACCATTGCCGTACTACCCTTATCTAACCCACCTGTTGAGAAATTTTGCTTTAAAACAGGTCCATGTCTTAACTTATTAAAACAGGGTGTATCAGATAAATCTGTAGAAGCTTTGAGAGATGGATGGATTTTGAAGCACAAGGCCACATTTTCTTCAATTGTTCATATGCTTGAAAATTTAGGGCATTCATACTCTCCACCTTTAATCGTAATGTGGTGCTCCCCACGAGCCCAATCAATCTGCTTACGTATACATTAACTGGGTTCCCTTCCCATTTCTCCTCTCTGATTGTTCTATTGCAAGGGTGCCATCTATGCCCAGGTTCTGGGGATTTTCGTTTGTGGAGTCCCAATCCTTCATTCGGCTTCTTTTCTACTTATTTCTTCTTCTTATGGGGAAATTTCCATCCAAATTCATTTTTATTTTCTTTGCTATGGGAAAATGGAAAGTGAAAGCTCCCAAGAAGGTTAGAATTTTTGCTTGACAGGTCATACGTGGGAGGATTAACACAATTGACTCCATCCAAAGGGTTTCCTCCATGTCCTTTTTTTTTATATAACGGAGAGTCGAGCTTTGCTCCCCTATACCAAGGGCACTTGCGCCCACTCCAAGGCCTGAACTCGAGAGGCATCAAGGGTTTTTGATATTAAGCTCACCAAAAGATTTGAACTTGAGATCTTCAAGCCAATACGACCAAGAGACCCCAAGCCCTTGCCAACCGGGCTGCCCCTTAGGGGCGGGTTTCCTCCATGTTGTTAGGGCTGCATTTAGTGCAAATGTGCCTCCAAGAACTTGGACCATTTGCTTTGGAGATGTAACTTTGCTACCTTAATCTGGGGACTCTTTTCTAGAGACATTCGATGCATCCTCAACCCAAATCAAATGATTCCATTTGATGATAGAAGGGTGTTTCATCCCCCCTTCAAAGGGGCATATTTTATGGAAAACTACCTTCTTAGCTATTTTGTGGTATATTTGGTTTGAGAGAAATATGAAGATCTTTAAAGGGTGGAGACGTTCTGGGGGATATTTGACCTTCAGTTAGGTTTAACACCCCCTCCCTTTGGGTGTCTGGCTTCATTTGTTTTAGGATGATTCTTTCTATTTTGCCCAATTGTATGTCATTTTTTTATATGAAATTGTATATCATTTAATTCTCCCTGAAAGTATGGTTTTTCATTATAGTTTTAAAAAAATTATTAGAGTGTCCTTTTGGTCTCTTTGGCTTGAGAGGAAAATAAAGAAAGAGCTTTGAAAGTTTCCTTGAATCTCTTTTTTTTCTCTTGTTAATAAACAGAGAGATGTATGTTCAGAAAGGAAAGAAACAACCTTGGGCTGAGGAACGAGAAGGTCCCCACCCAGAAACTAACTACTTACAAAATAAGTCTTCCAATCTGACATAATCGACAAAATACTGTAGTTACAAAATACTTTCTTGTGATTTGAGCACCACCAAAAAGCATTATGTTGAACAATACTACAAAAGAAAAAGTCTAAAATAGTAAACTTATCACTAAAAAAATGGGTTGATTTCTTTACTTCCAAATCTGCCATGGGAGAGCTCTCACTGTGCAATTCCACAAAATATTTGCCTTTTTCTTGAAGTTCCAGCCACTAAGGGCTTACAAAACTCAAAATCCAGTCATCAAGGGCTTCCAATCTCTTTCCTTTTTGGTTCTCTTTTGGTGTAAAAATTCTTCTCCTTTTAACAATGGCTTACCTCTCCAATACCGTCAATGAAATTGTTTCTTATATAAAAAAATAAAAAGAGAGAAGCATTGACTATCATGATTGAGAGTCTTCTAACTTCAGTCTGGCATATTTTTGCAAAATTTGAAGACATCATGAGGCTATTTTAGGCAAGTTTTCATGTTCTACATGAGAATAAGATAAGTCTGGTAAGGAGCACCCAAGTCATTTTAGGCAAGTTTTTATGTTCTACATGAGAATAAGATATGTAAAAATCCTGAAGAAATTTATTTTCAAGGTTCCAAGTTATTGGTTCTAGGATTCAATAAACAGCATAAAGGTGTAACAGTCGATCCAACTAAGGTGAATGCTATCAATGAGCAACTAGAACAGAATTCACACTTAACAGAGTCCAAAATTTTCTTGGTCTTAGTTCTACTCTTACTACATTAACAGACTGTGTAAAGGAAGACAACAGAGGTTGTGCTTTCTAAACATCAAGAAAAAAGATTGTCCACCATCTTTACCCCTATTCGACTTTTGGAACATTATGCAGTAATTCATACCCTTAGAAATAGAAATAAAAAGTGCATCTATCTTATTGATATTGACGAACTCAAGATAGATTTAACATGTTCCTTACACATATTCATGGTTGAAAAAAGTAATGAAACTGAAAATATTAAAGTAGATTATTATAGTAATAAGCTCGAATTCAATCTGTCAAAAAAAAAAGCTATAATTCAAGGATACTTGGAATGCGGGAAAATTGAGCAGAATAAGCAGACCGCAACCCTATAAATAATGAATGAACTGATTTGAACATAAAATGTTTATTAATTAAAAGCAAGTCAACAAATTCCAATTTCCAACATGATTAGTACTCTTAAATACTGTTTTTGAACAAGATATGAACTTCTCAATGAAATAATGAAAAGGAACAAAATTGTTCAAAGATACAAACTCTCGAAAGACGAACTTCTTAAATAAACAGTGAACAAAAATGAAGAATAGAAAAGAAAAAAGGAAAAAAAAATTATTTAACAACATTCTTTTTTATACAATTTATTATTCAAGAAACAAAAGAAATTTACAGATGAAGAATAGCCTTAAAAGTTTTTATGTCGATGGCAACCACTAAGGTCCTCACCATCAAGAGTTATCAGAATATACAAATATTATCAATTGCCCTAAAACTACTAATGCAAGAAGAAAGAACAGCAATTTGATCAGTAATTCTACATGTCCAATGTGTAAAAAGAAATCTATCCTCTAAGAGTGCATAGAATAGATTAGGGAGGATTAATACCTTGTTCTTACAATGGAGTAACAACGTCAAACAGTAGACAAACTTCCCTGCATTACTGATCCCCGAGAAGCTATATAAATAACTAGCATAGAGAAGATTCATGACCCATGAACACTGATCCTGCCAAACATGAACAAGTAGATAAAAAACAATAAGAATCCCTTGAAAGTAAAAAATAAATAAATCGCTACACACCAAAGCAATGAGGTGAAAGTAGAGTCCAAGGCATCAAAGAGCTATAATGCCAATAAGCTCTCCGCATATCTCAAATTAGTTATAAATAAATTGTTTTAGTATATTTGGGCGCAAGAAACTGTATAGTCAATAAAACTGTTGCTTAGTTTTTGGAATTCTTACAAATTCGTAAAACCCTATGCTCCTAGACATTAACCGTGTATAATCTAAATTTATCAACATTTCTTCTCCCTTACCACTCATACTAGAACGGTTTCACAAGCACATAACCATATTCTAAAGTAAAAATTTTGCACAAGAACCAAAACAAAGCTCTTAGTTCGAAACCTACTAGACCAAATCCAATCACTCTGTAATAAATCCAGAAAAGAAAGAAACCAACATACGATAGGTTACCAGTATGAAGAAAAACTAGTATTTATCCTCTGAGGGCATTTTCTTCATGCTGTTTCTGAGGTGAAAATGGTTAACTACAATAAAGAGATGCAAAGAACGCAGGAACTCTTAACCACCGCTTCAAGGAAATGAAAAGGTAGGTCCTAATTTTTTATCTTCTTCCTGCATACGACCATATACTTCTGCTATACTAAATCCAGTTACCTCTGGAGATCCTAGAAATGCCGATTCGAAATTCAAATTTGAAACAAAACCCAATTACAAGCAGCACAAAGACGGAAGCCGTTGATCATTACAAGTCACCCCAAATACAGAATTCGAGAGAGAAGAAGGGGGTTACAACTAAAACAAAAGGAATCGAAGTAGAAGAGAATAAAAACGAAAAACAAAAACAAAACACAACACAGCAGAAGACTTCAAAATCTTACGGATCAAACCCAGAAGCAAGCAATAGAAGTGGCACCAGAAATGCAGCAAACGAAATGGAGAGCGAAGATCACAAGATGCTGCTCTAGGCGCCTCTCCAGCTCTATCGATGCGCTTGCGTGAAACCCACCACCCAGATTTCGCCTATTCCCTTCCGTTTCCGTTCCATTCCATTCACCGCAGACTTTTTCTTCCTGAATTATTTTATTGATTTTAGTTGAAGGATTAAACTTCCTTCTTTTTATTCCTTTTGGCCTTTTAAATGGCCTACTTGGAGTTGGAATGTGGGGTCGATTTTATTCTTCTTGTTACCATGTGTTCTTCTTCTTCAAACTTCTTCTAGAGATGCTCTCTTCATCTTCATTCCTTAAATTTTACTCAGCTGATTTGTTACGAAAAGGGGATGCTCCAAAGAAATGCAATCACCTCCTTCTAAAATGCTTTGAATTTGGTTGACTTCTAACTTTTTTCTAACTTTACTTGAGTAAGATTTGATTTTAGTAACTTGAGTTGATTTGTAGATTCTCTCAAAATTAATTTGGGTTGAATTGAACCAGGATCGATACTAGTTTTTCGCAGCAAGAAGTAGCGCCTTTGTAACTATAACAAATGAAAAGAAGTATAGCCACCCTGCCCTAACCATAACGTTTAAGTTGTTATCTTTTTTTGGACAATGATTCTAACCTAACCAAATAACTCATAAATATTTTGTCATAACAATAATATTAGTGTGTTCACGAGAATAAAACAACATATTACCTCATACAAAATAAAGGGCAAAAAAGGAAAGAGAGATTTAAATGACTACAAGTTGTAGCATTTGATCATTCAAGTTGGTAAGTATTATTATTCAAGGGTTGTGTTCTAACATGCTCTTAAAGGTAGGGGTAAGAATATCATGTCCATGTTTAGTCCAAAGATTACCTGGTCTCGAAGAATAAAGTATTTTATGAAACAATTGTCCAACTAGGTGATCATGTTAAGGAACTTGGTCGATATCAACTTCTTTCTTGAAATTTTTGATACAAAGGAAGGAAACGTCGCAATCTATGCGCTTCGACCAAGTGTAGAAAACGACCGTCTTAAACAATGAGATTGCACTAAGTTATAGTATCAAATTAGAGTATAGGAAGCTCGAGCTATAATTGATTTGATTGATTTTTAATTGTTACTTTGATAATTAAGTGACATTCTATCTCAACACTTATGGATTAACTTTTAAAAAGCTATAGAAAAATGATTAGTCGAAGAAATATATAGATGTTTTAGCATGATTAAGAACTAGAGCTTAAAAGTTCTTTCTACCCTAAAGTCTTAGATATATATATTTTTTCTAGAATAATTTTATAAAGAAACTTTGAACTTTTCAAAATCAAACAATAGTCAACTTGGGTTGCTAATGGCAATTTTTGGATGAGGGCTATGGATTTCTTTACCCAGTGATATGTTGATAGTGAACATATCACTCCGTGATAATTTACGTCTACTATTTTCTTTGAGGTCAGAGATTTAGTCCTATATTATTAATTTGTTGTACTAAAAAAATAATAATAAATAAATCAATAATCCCTATGAATTAATTATTCATTAAATAATCAAAGTTATTTGATATTTTTTCTTCAAATTAAGAGCTTGATGAATTTATTTTTTAAGCTCAAATAATTTCAAATTAATTGATTTTTATCATTAATTCAAGACAATTCACGGTAAAATCAACACTCATGGACTGTAAAATTAGTTACATAGTAGATAATTATCTCATTAGTACGAAATCTTTTGGGTGCAACTAAAAGTAAGTCACATGTATCTTCGTTGGACAACATCCACGATGAGATGATACTTCCTCTCCATAGGAAATTTTTTTTTCTCCATTGTTAGACGATGAGACCTATAAGTATTAGTAAAATAATTAAAAAAAAAGCCAAAATCCGACATTTATTTACATATTATTAGACCAGGGTGAGGAGCACAATGGTATCGAGCCAAGTTCTTTCTCCATTATCGATATTTGTTTTGCTTTCTTATCCATATAACAAATTATATCAAAATAATATACTTTCTTTTAAGTATATTATTAATATAACTGATAATAAGTAACAATTAATGTACTTTATATTAGTGACATATTTCATCCAAACGGTTTTTCCAATTTTTAGAAAATTGTCAATTTTAAAGGTACAACTTACATTCTCATTTTTTTTTTTTGGGTTGGCCATCTATTTTTTTTTATTTGTAAATTAGAAAAACTGTTGCTATATTTACGGTTAATTAACTTTTTGCTATAAAAATAATAATAATAATAATAATAACTTTTTGCTATATTTGCAAGCCCATTTTTCAGCCTCCCAAAATATTTTGGAATGTTTTTCAACTACTATTGAGGTGTATGGATTTTTCTCATCTCCTCAAACATGTAAGAACAACTATTTTCAAGAAAAATGTACTCTTGCTTCTTTGAATTTGTTTTCACAGTGAATCACTCTATTAAGAATTATGAACTTGTAAATAGGCTAGTCCGAGATTGGCCCAACAATAAACATAATCGTTACAGGCTTGTTTGATAACATCCTTATTCCAATTTATTATTTCTCATTTTCAATTTTGACGAATCATATACGTTGTTCTCATCCTAGTTTTTTCAAAACATAAATAAAAGCATTATTTTATCATTCTTGACTTATATATTTACAATAAATTTAAAAGATAAATATAACATAACAGATTTGAATATTTAAAAAAATGTTTTTCATATAAAACTTTTACTCTCTTTTTTAATTTAAAATTTTAGAGAATAAGAAAATTTAAATAATTATCAAACATGTTTCTAGAGTACTATTTTTATTTTATAAAAAGAATTGTACCATACAGGACCTACAAATTGATGTTCAATTATAGCTCTTTAAAACTTTTATAAAAATGAAAATAAAATCTATTTTTTAGAAACAAATTTTCAAACAAATCACAGTTGGAATTGCAAGGGAGAGGAAAGGTAGTTGAAGTTTTGTCCATTATGTCTTAAAAGCCCGATGTAAGCTTTCAAAAAGCAACAAATTTTCAGCAAAATGCTTGCAATGTCAAATAAAAGGGGTTCCTTTACTTCAAAACAAAATTAAATAAGTGATACTTTTTGCCAACACATTTTGACACTTTCTAACTATAAATCAAGGGTACAATTTTGATAACTTCAAAGATAAAAGCAAATTGAGAATTACCTAATGATTAAAACTTTGAAAAATACAATTAAAAATTTAAATTCATAAGCTCAATAGAATTAAACCAACTTATAACTCAACAAGCAAACTAAAATATCACACACTTCCAAACTATAGACTATACGAATAAAATCTACAAGTCAAATACTATTATTGTTATTAACATCTCACTGAGTAACATGAGCTTGGCTTAGCCATTAGTTAAGACATTTTGCTCTTCCCTCAAAAAATTAAAATTAATTCTCAATCTTATATAAGATTCTAAATAAGGACAACTCCAAGAATTGGGTGTCCTATATACATATTCCTTGAACCACTGCCACCACAAAATTAAAAACATTACACCCAAGTTTTTTTTTTTTTTTTTAAATAATGTAATAACATTTCAGCATAAATGAATAAAAAAAACCTGAAAAATAATGAATCTTCCTGTATATCCCACTGAAAATTTGACCAGGAAAGAAAGAAAGGAAGGAAGAAGATGAAAAGAGGGAGCAGAAAGCAAAAATATGTTGGTTAAGCTTGTTTACAGGGGCTGGAGTTCTTGCTCAGGAGCTGCTGCATTGACAGGCTTATAAGAATTGAAGGATTGGTGTCTCCTTCTCCAAATAAGCCACACTCCCAATGCTGACAACCCAAGAAGAAGCGTGACAATAACAGCTACAATCACCATAACATAAAGTTGCTTCCACAATGACCTGAACAATGTAGAGGTGATACCCATCCATGAATACACTACTTTGGTTAGGGAAAGTAATATGTGTATAGTTAAATTGTAAATTTAGTTCCTAAACTTTGATGGTTACGTCTATTATTTAATTCCTGAACTTTAAAAAGTTTTAATTATATTCATAAACTTTGATTTTGATTCTAATAAGCTCATGTGTCAGCACTATTACTTAACTGTTGTTATTGTATCAATGAGTGATAATTTGGCAAAATGATGAAAAAAAGGCAGGTGGGTCAGAATACTATTGCTTCATTGAATTTTTTAGCACACTCAATCTTTATTTCATCTGACTAGCTTACTCTTTAACAAAATTATCACTCGTTAGTCCAACTAACACACTGGGATTGATGACATGCACTTGTTAGAAAAAAAAAAAATCAGGAACATATACAAAAATTTATAATTAAATAGACCCAACCATCAAAGTTTGGTAACTAAACTTATAGTTTAACATATATATTGATACATATTTACCTTTTTATTAGAGGCTCGACATTCCATTGAACGACCTGATAACTTCCAAATGTTGGAGGTAGTTGCATGTGATGCTCCACAATCTGGGCAATTATCGTCTGCCAGAGTAAAACAAGATTTTAAAAGGCAGGCTTGATGCTTGTGAATTTTCTGTTGTTATGCAGTTTACAGTTGCAAGTCTATTCACTTACAGTGGCAGTCGCATGTGAGAAAAATTCTGAAGATCCACCAGGGATTATGGCCAGCTGAATAAGTGAATCGTTTCCTTGCATGGTAAAATTCAATAAACGAACCTGAAATAATGGTGAAATGACATGCAGTAAAAAGTTAGGTGCGAGAAAAGAATGAAAGAAATTTGTGGGGGTAAATTACAAATTTAGCCCGTATATTTTGATGGTGGCAACTATTTATTCCTTAAATTTTAATACATTTAAATTGTCTCAAAAACTTTGAATTGTAGTTCCTACCGATAATAATGTTGACAAGATGATAATATGACATGCCTATTGACCCCACGTTGGTTAATTTGATATGACATAAAAAACAAAAATCATAAGGGTAGCATACATAAAAGACAAATGGCAGAATGGAGTGGATAACTGGACAAAATAGAGTAGTATGATCTCTATACAAGAGGAATTTATATGTTGTTTAATGAAAAAAGTATGCTACACATGCTAAACTGATATTTAGGTATAAAATGTTATTATATAGCTAATAATACTGACTATAAGAATGGTATAGAATCGCAATTCATAATTTAGGGACACAATTAAAAGCTTTTATAGTTTATAGTCCAATAAGCACAATCATGCATTAAATTTATAATATAACCTATATGTTATTACCATCACGATTCATTTGAACTGTTGAAAATGCAAATGTTAAAGATTGTTCCGTAATTATCATCAAATACTGCCAAAAGAATTTTCAATCCCAGATGTGTCATGTGCACTAACCTGTGAATAACTAACATTTAACTCTTGAGCAATAAGGTCAGAAAGTTCTGTAATATGAGGCTCCAGATCTTCGTAGCTTATGTTCAACAGGATTTCAAATGTGATACGTCCAACCTGGAGCTCTCCTGCACGTAATACAAAAGAAAACTTCACAAACGGGCCATGTAAGGTAGAGACTGAAAAGATCATGAATTCATCTTATGAAAATTGCAATTTTATAATATCTACATCAAATTCCGCTAAATGATATTTCCAAAATGCTGGTTACATAATTTTCTTCACCCAACAGTTCTCATAAATAGTCAAAGTAAACTAAAATGTTAAAAAGCCATTGCTCTTGTCACAAATTCTGAAAGAACCTCAATTGTCCTAATGACATGAAGAATGGCATGAAACATTAGCTCCTTTAAAAAAAAAAAAGGTCGAAGTAAATCAAGGTTAACTGAATAAAACAATGATTCACACAAAGAAAATTACTAAAGAATCAACGTATGCTGTCAAGCTGCCATGCTAGCATAAAATCAAAAAGAAACCTTGCACTTAACTATACCTGGAATCATGTAATGTGGTGCCTCGCTTGGAGCAGATGCCGGTGCCTCGCTTGGAGCAGTGGCCGGCGCCTCGCTCGGAGCAGAGGCCGGCGCCTCGCTCGGAGCAGAGGCCGGCGCCTCGCTCGGAGCAGATGCCGGTGCCTCGCTCGGAGCAGATGCCGGTGCCATTTCAGTATCATGTGATGTATTTGAAACAGAGGGAGCATGGGCAGTATCATTAGAAATGTGAAGTCTTTCCCATAACTCAGAACAGTTTGTTTTCCAAAATCCAATTTTTGAATTCTCTCTGTCATACATCACTAGAGTGTTGCGGACAATAATTCCTATCACAAAAAATATTTATGCAAAAATGTAAATATGTGATCAAATTAAAAATTATACAACTTCATAAAACAAACAGATAGAAAAGCCAAATTTCCCATAGAATAAGCATTCATGGGAAAAATCATGTGGGCCATTAAAAAAAGGGTACCTCCTAGAAGAGTAGTTTGATCATTTCCGTTCTCAAAAATGCCCAGACAATATGCACCATGTACCTTTGAGTGCTGAAGTAATGATGCAGAATTCACAGTAAAGAAGAATCCGTTAACTTGATCAATGCTTAGCAACTACATAAACTGCCGGGACAACTTTTCTTAATTGAATAAAAAATCACAGAGGAATTTCTTACCCGAAACAAGTAATTTTCTGGTGCTAGAGACAACTTTTGCCCATTTTCGAATACCATGTCAACTGCCGGGAATGTCTTCGACAATTCAGCAACATCACTAACATAATGAGACGGATTAATTACTCATTGATGTAAATCACTTTTAGAACTGACAAAACGTGTTAGCTAACCATACCTTCCAGCGCCAGAAAAACATATATCGTTAAAATTTGGGTCAGGACCACCAATCTTCTTCAAAGAATGAACCTCGTCCATAATCTGAAGGACTTTTTAAGTTCATTATGAGTTCTATAAAAATGTCAAAAACAGGATTCCAACAGTTAACAACTCAAGATTGCACGAGTAACATTAAAATCAAGACTCTTAAAAAAGAACAAGATCTATTGCCCTTGACCTAGAGACTACTTGCACAGTCGATGGCAAAGAAGACATACAAGGCAACAACATTAGAGAGAGCAAGAGAAAGAGACACAGGTTATGAGCCGTGTCATAGAATGACTACAGGGATCAATCCTTCATTTTTATGATAAGGAACTAAAAGTTTCTTCATTTCATTCTGTTCGTTTCCCTATTTCATTGTATAAATAATATTTTTCGGATCACACAAGATCTTGCCATTCCACTGCACACAATGAATTGAAATCATCCGATAATATATCAAATGATCCCATTTATAAAGGTCGTCAAGGAAATAATGTAATCGAGCGTAAGCCATATCAAATTATTAAAATATAAAACAGCTAGAAGAAGTACAGAAAAATGCAATTAAAAAAATTATAAGACTGAGACAGAAGTTGCAAAAAGATAATCCTGGAAAAGTAAGAACTAAATCATCTTACAGTGTCCTCCGGAAAGGATGCAACACTCTTCAAATTCAGACAAAAGTAAATATACTACTGGCAGTGAATGTTAATTCAGAAAAATGGAAGCTTACAGCATCCTTAAAAGCTCCAAACGCTGGCTGTGGTAGGTAAGCATAAGTTGTACCACTATCCAAGACAGTTCCAAATTTTCCATCAAAAACACTTGGATTCAGAAGCAATTTTTTACCCGCAACACGTATCTCCTTCAAATCAACATTGTAATATGGACTGTTGCCATCCCGAAACTAAAGTAAATGTGTGAGATGAATCAATTGTAATTGTGCTGAATGAGCATGAAGTACAATTTGTAAGGTTAAACGACATTTGTACACACCTTCTCATACGGTCTGAGAAGCTAAAAGCCATATCTGATGGAGTAGAGATACCACCAAGAACCATAGCACCACCACCAATATCCATACCACCATAGCATAATGAGAAAGTATCATTAATCACACCTTTTTCAACGAGTTGATCGACTATACTAAGTTCACCACTGCCCAAACCCATAATTCCATCAGCACGTTGACTATAAAGATCACCAGTTTCCACAGTCTCACAACCAAACGTAGCACGCTGGGGTACGAGTTCACTCTGATTGCCAAAGGATATAATATCTTCACCAAGGATACCACTGCTAGTGCTCATTTCAGCATACTGCCTCTCGTAGACACACAGCAGTCCATCATCGTCACAACTGCAATCAAGATTGCATTTGACAGGTCGGAACGTGCTTGACAAATCTGGATCAAACTTCGGGTCCTGATAGAAATAAAAGTTTAAGTACCAACTACAGCACATTCCAAGGTACCTATGAAGAAAAAACTAGAAATATTTTAATATAAATACAATAATGACAGGACAAATTTTATACTTAAAGCTAACATGTCGACAACCTTCAAGACCCACACAGAATACCGAAAATTTTCACCAAATAGGAGGGAAATGTACCAATATTCAAGAGTATCCAGAGTCGGATACCAAGATCACTTGTTCCAAGAAAAACAATTTGTCCAGATAAACATGTATCATTCT